ATAGGTGTTTATTTGTTAAGTTGCTCAAATCAGGTAGTTTACTTAGTGTTTGAAATTAAATGTTCATATCAAAGTTGTTTGTGGTTATTTCTCGGCTAGAATGATTAGACTTCTACTCGTGTAATCAAAACTACTGGTGTCAAAATAAATTGGAATTGCAGAGGTTTGGTTATAGGTATAAATCGAACATGATGAATGAACAAGTTACAGTGGATTTAGAAAGCGCAATGATTCTCTCTATCTCCCCCTCCCACCCCTCCCAACCCCCCCCCACCACGCCATCCAAACTTACATTATCAGAAGACAAAGGATATATAACAAATCTCCTAATAACTGCCTTGCCTCCTAATAACACGAAACTCATTGATTCTCCTGAGGAAGCGTCATAAAAATGAATGTGGCATTTGAGCCGCAGAACTTTCTGGAAAATGTGCTTATATTCCTTTAATTCGAAATACTTTGCCTTCCCATTCCCAACTGAGCCAACCAATCTTCATATTTGTATTTTGCTTTGTTGATTTCACAGCTTTAAACATCCTTTCACATTGAAATACTGGTCTTGTTTGTTTATTTTGCTTTGTTAATCCTCACTTCCCTTCTTTTTGTGGTCAAACAAATCAAGCAAAGTGGGGACAGTTTTGCGTGTGTGTGTGTGTGTGTGTGTGTGTTATTTTAAACTTTGCTCTAAAGGCTCATTTCCCTTTTTGGTTAATTATTAGCTAAACTCCTTTGATAAAATAATGAAGAATGGTTTCCCCGCTTTTTTGTTGGGGGTTTTTGTTTTGCTTTTTGGTCCACTGTAATCCCATTAACAAGATTATTATACACTGCAGGGAAAGTCAGGTAAATTAAATACAAGTGACTGTAAATTGAGTTTGAATGGTCATGTGCATGGAAAGAGAGATGGGGACATGGGAATATTATACACACATGCACGCACATGTGGGAGATATTGTCTTAAACATGCCAACAATGTAGGGAAACATAACTTTGAAAGAATTGTGGTATGGCTATATAGATGACAAAAGAAACTCATCTCCAGGGAATAGGTTTATGATCCAGATAAAGTCGTGAGGGTATTCAACTCTCTCTCTCTCTCTCTCTCTCTCTCTCTCTCTCTCTCTCTCTCTCTGTGTGTGTGTGTGTGTGTGTGTGTGTGTGTGTGTGTGTGTGTGTAAAGGCCAGCCCTTAGTTTATGGTACCAATTTAAGTCTCCTTCTGCCAAAAGTCCTGCTGGGTTCACACCTCTCAGTGCTGCTGAATTCCAACCCCCACATAAAAAAGAAAGAATAGATATTCCTTTTTCTTTCTTTTTAGGGAAAACCACATTTTCTTTTGGTTGCAAATTTGTGCACTGCTTTAACTTTTTTTTTTTCCAGTGCTGCCAAGCAATTCCCTGGCCTGGCGTCTAAACAGAAAAATATTTGGGTGTTACTTTTAATCCCCTCATTTATCTCCCCCTCCCATTTGCTTGTGCTTTGTAAAGTTGGCTTGTGCTAAGCAGAAGAGGAAGAAATGGGCTGGGTTGGGCTGGGGGCAGAAACCTGGAGCACTTCTTCAGCTACAAAGCAGCAGCTGCACACGTTGTAAATAAGCCCCTTTAATCTTTATATATTCTCTGCAATTTGAGTTATGCCACACACAGGTCAGGATGGATTCTCGAAGCTGGGGGGAGCATGCAAATACTCTGTAGCAACAACAGGCAGAAGAGAAGAGTTCCTGTGCTTTCTAACCAGCCCATAGATCGTTTTCAGATAGGATTTAACATTGGAGGCTCAGTGTAAAAATCTGCCAGTGACAGGGGGATAGAACACTAATATTTCCACACCCTGAACAACAAGACAGTCATGGAAGGGCTGCATTTTGATCATGTTTCATAGAGAGATTAGTTAACATAGAGACACAAAGATTTATGCCTCAACTATCTTTATGACTCAACTATACCCAAGGTAACTTTAAATAAAACATAAAAATTATCTCTAGACCCGAATACTTTCAAGACACTCCATTATATGGGGCGGGGAGGGGGGGTGGGGCGGGGAGGCAAAGGTGTTGGCTTACAAACAATCTTTTAAGCAGTGTAACACTCTGACTTTCGTCTACTCTCCATAAAGATTGAGGCCAGTTACATACCAAATTCTGCTTTCCTCTGTCCAAGACATTTTCACAGAATGAGTCATGAAAAGCTCTTACATGATTGTGTATCAGGTAAATTAAAGGTCAGTCCTTCTTTGCAACCCACTAGGCAGGGATAGTCTGTTTTTCTAATAATTGGATGGTGAGTAATTAATTATTATATGGCAATTTTAAATTAATTACTTTTTAATTTTAAAAATTTCAGGGGAGAAAGAGATAATCTAAATTGTCTGAGCTGGAAAGAAAGACACTTTCTCAAGTCACAAGGAAGCATAATAATGACCGAATTTTGTTTTTATATATAATTCTTCTGCAAATATAGACACTTTCTGCATTTCCAATCACATGTTAAAGACTAAAATACAGAGTTAAAAACAAGCAGGACAGTTACTCACTTATTTAACCATCAAGCAGTCAAACTTCGAGTATTAACCCAACCTTCTTGTCCACATGCCTCAATTCCTAAACAAGTCTGAAGGGCTGTGCTGCTTTCAAGTAACTCTCGAAAACAGCAAGGGGGGGCAGTTCCATTTTCCCTCCTCCCTCTGATTTTTCGCAGCAATGAAAAGATCTATTTACAGTTTGGATCTACTCCGCACATATAAACGGTCTGAGGGTTGGATGGAGGATGATAGCCTTGTCACACAAACCAGAAAGGGTGGGGGCGTGTGTGTGAGAGACCTGTGAAAAAATCACTTCCTTTGCCTCTTATTTCCTTCCATTCGAAGTTCAGCGCAGCGCTGAAGCAGTGTGGGTTTCTTTGTCATTAAGACTGAGCCTCGTACCAAATTAAACCGTAATCCAGGACGATTTCATGACTCCTTAATCCTCGCCAGAGAAAATTCGCATGGGTCATTCTGCAGAGATCACGTTGCCATGTAAATCCGATCTGGGAGCGCTTAAGTGAATGTGTGGCGAATAATTCCTATGAGCAGATTACGGCTTCTGTAATAGAGGGATGATAGATAGGTAGATTGGATTGCAACTTCATTTGTCCAAATCGCACTTGGATAATCAGAAGTTGGGATAAATTGAAGAGGCATTAATTTAGGCTTGCGGTGACGTGCGGGCTGGTAGGGAATGTATGATGCTTTGGGATTGCTCAGGAGTTTCAGAGACTCCAGAATGGGCATTTCCTCGGGAAAGTATACTAGAAGAGGCAAAAGGAAGAAGCAGAAATAGATAACTAACTGAGAGGAGCAGAGGGCGAGCAACTTGCTATTTAAAATAGGGTTAAAGGCTAAGTTGGAACATTTTTAAACGATTCCTTGAACTACAGGTTTCTCCACAAAATATAGGTTCAGGGTGGGAGGAGGCTCAGTAAAATTAAATTACAGACCACAACCGCAACAAATCTGTAGGAAGTTCTGATCAGAGCGGACTCGTGACTCGACCTGTAGGAGACCACACCAAGGCAGACCCCCAAACTTAAGCCGTCTGGGTAACTCGTTCAATCCATCTGCTTTTTAAAAAGGCGATTCTGGACGGCACCGAATTCTGCGCGACTCTCATTGATGCCCAGACCAAATCTGTCTCGAATTTTAAAGGCAAGAAACTTAAATCGCACGAAGTAGAAATAGAAATTCTTGCTGCAGGCTCACCTCACATTGACAGCACGGGCGCCATCTCCCAGGGGACCAGTCCCTGCTGCCTTAAATATTTTTCGATGCTTGGTGATCAATAAGGGGTGTTCTTGGGCCGTCAGCACAGCCGCTGCCCTTAACTCTAAGCTGTCCAACGATCCGGCCTTAACCGTAAAAACGCAAGAGGGCACAGTTCTTTACAGATATGCGGAATATCGTTCGAGCTGAGTCCCAGTCCCACCCATCCATCTTCCAGACTTTATACACCGAACCGCAGAAACTTAAAAGTGAAGGGTTTGATTAAGCCAGGGATAAAATATGCATGCGAGTGTCTAAACACACACACATTTCAACCCATTCGGATAATTTAATGGAGAAAACAGGGTGGTATTGAGGCGGGGTGGTGAGTAACGTTGCCAAAACGGATTCCTTCATTCCTTTCCAGGAGCTGGTCTGAAGTTCTTTCTAGGGCCCTCCGTACAGGAGAGCCCCCCTCCCACTCCCCAAACACGGCAAGAATGCAGGAACTTTCTCCTGCCCATCTAGGCACTGACACGGACTCCCTCATAGATACATACATACATACATGTATGTATGTATATATAATCAAACGCATAAACGTCCGCCTGCTCTTTACCCCTTGCATAGGTCTCCCCCTCCATGAATCATGCTGGAAATGAGCAAACTTTTCCAGATGAAAGGAATTCGCCTTTTTTCCTTTTCCTGCCTCCACGAAAGCAGCAGTGATTGTATCAGAATGCATTTGTCTTATTTCTTCTCGCTTTTCACCCTCTCCTCTTCTTCCTTGTTCCTCTTCCTCTTCTATACGTTTGTTGTATTTTTTTAAGCCCAAAGGAAACTCCGCGGATTTATCTTTCCCTAGATCAGGAGTGTGTGGTCAAGGGGGAGGGTGTCTATTTGTGTATCTGGGCTGGAGGGGGGCGCGCGGTTCTGTTGTTTAAAAGTGATGGTGTTGGTGGCAGAGATGCTTTCGCTGGTTTGTTCTAGGGGGGTCCCCTGTGCAAAGCTCACCCCTCTAGGGTGCTATTTCGCAGTCTTCGACTTCTGCTATTGGTCAGCGCGTGATCAGATGGTTCTCTTTCCTTATGTCCCTGGTTGGCATGCAGCCATCCCCCTTCAGCTAAAACCCAATCTCCCATATACTGCTAATAGCTAAACCGCTTGGACTATAAAACGCAACAAATCATAAAGACCAAGGGAAAGAACAGGCGCTGTTCTTCTGCTTTATTGTTGTTATTATTATTGTTGTTATTATTTCCAATGAGTTCTTATTTTGTCAACTCTACTTTTCCGGTGAGCCTAGCCGGGGGTCAGGAACCGTTTCTGGGACAGCTCCCCTTATATTCCACGGGGTATGCGGATCCTTTAAGGCACTATCCCGCCACTTACGGAACTGGGGGTGGTGGCGTCCAGGAGAAGGGTTACCCGGGCGCGCCATACTATCAGCAAGCCAACGGAGCTTACACCCGGAGCCCAGCCTGCGACTACGGGACATCTGGTTTTTACAGGGAGAAAGAGACTGCTTGCTCTCTCTCGAGCTTAGAGGACCCTGTTCAGTTCGGCCAGGAGCAAGTCCGGAAGTCAGATTGCTCCCAGAGCAAGCACGTTTTCGGGGAGAGCGAGGATCAGAAATGTTCCACTCCAGTGTACCCCTGGATGCAAAGGATGAACTCCTGTAACAGTAAGTTGCTCTTTTCTCTTAAGTCTCTGTAACCCAGGCAGGCAGATAGACATTTGATTTAACCCCATTCCTCTCTGCACAGGGAATGTCCTCCTCATCTCAGTTTCCAGATGGCGGAACGAGAAACTTTCTTCAAACTTTTTAGTACACTTAGATCAGACATGCAACGCCAATGCCTCGATGGCTTGATTTTTAAGAAAAAATATTTGCAGGATCTTTCCTTCAGTTAGTTCGTTTCTTTTGCCAACTTTCTGTATCAAGGAAGGCACGGGGATTATTGATTGACCGGCTCTGTCTTGTAGAAGGCACTGTTAGCTGTCACTCAGTAGGAGTGATTAGAGACGTGTCTGGTGTACTCACACACACACACACACACACACACACACACACACACACACACACAGAGCACCTTGTGCCAATTCATATCCCGGGGAGTTGGGTTCTATAATCCCAGCCAGTTGAATAATGTCAGAAGCGCTTAAATATTTGAAGGAGAGATCTACATTTTTAATGAAAGTCAGGCATAATGAAATGCTTCTCTGAAGAGGACTTGCACAGTTTCTCTTTCACCCTCTCACTTTCCTCCCTCATTCCCAATCACCCACCTTCTATAATCGACGGTTGCCTCCAGCTGCCATATTTTCCATGAAAATGTGTTTCTTAAAAAAACGATAAAGGCATGACAACAGCTCCTCCTTTTTCTCCCTCTGCGTATAACTGGCCCTGAATGTCAGATTTTAGCATTCCAAATTGGGGGGGGGGGAGGCTAAAAAGGGGGTTGATCTCTACTGCCTTCTTGCTTAAATTCTCGAATCTGATGAAACGGAGGAAGAGCTGAGTTGCAAGTTTTATAAAAGGGAAAGGAGCAGGGGCAGTGAAGGTTGCTTAGGGGAAAAAAGTGCGGCGAGAGAGGAGGGAATTCGTAACTTTTGGACATTAATTCTTTGGGGATGTAAGTGCACGGGTAGGCAAATGGGGGAAGAGAACTCCTTAGTCACTCTCTCAGGACAAAACCCTGCAAGCTGCCACTGCGACCCTAGAAACACATGCACTGGGAAGCCAAGCATCACCGGTTTCTTTGCGCTATGATATTACCTCGATCCTAAGCCCTTTTACACTGGAGTAACTATGTTGGTTATCTTCAGTGCCAAGTGAAGTCACGTTAAGATGACATCCCTCACCAGTTATCCAGTCCAGTATGAAGGCATGTGCATTCAGGGAGTAAATCACACTGAGCTGCTGTGATTTACTCCCAAGTAAGTATAGATAGCACTGCAGTCTGGGTGTCCCATGAACTCTGCTCAGTAGGGGCACCAAAGACTCTAAGGAAGGGACAGGTAAGAGAAAAGCGAGTGGGCCCTTTCTGCTGGAGGGGTAGCCTTGAAGAGCAAGCTTTCAAGTTACACAGAACTGTTCTTCAGCGAGCCACTTCCCTCGTTCGCAAAAGACAAGCATACAAAATAGGTGCTGCTTGGTGAGGCTGAAAGTGTTCGAGCTGAGACTGGTGGGGTGCAGTGGGGTGAGTGTGTGAGTGTGGGGGGGCTGTTCCAGCAAGTCTGCAGATGATGCATCCCCACAGCTTCCACCTGGCTGCAGTGCACTAGCATTTTGGAGGCCTGGTCCAAGATTTTCGGGAGAACTTAGTGAAAAGCAGCCAGAGTGGATGCTTTGTTAGTCTCTCCTCTGTTGTTGCTTCAAATGTCGTGTCGGTGCGCTGTTTGTGTGCATCAACGGGCCATTTGAGGAGAGAGGTTTGGGGAAGTGGCCTGGGAAATAGGGCCACAACAGAGGGGAAGTGAACTCTCTCTCTCTCTCTCTCCCTCTCTCTCTCTCCCCCCCCCCCCCTCTCTCCGCTCTCCCCCCACAGACACCCTCACATACAAGCCGTTTAGCCAAGTCTGCTTTGTCATGTATCTTTGAAACGCCAATAAATTCTCAGCAGTCACGCACCCCTCACTTTTCTTCCCTGCCAGGTTCGTCCTTCGGGCCCAGTGGCAGGCGAGGAAGACAGACCTACACCCGCTACCAAACCCTGGAACTGGAGAAGGAGTTCCACTTTAACCGTTACCTGACCAGGCGCAGGCGGATCGAGATCGCCCATGCGCTCTGCCTGACCGAACGCCAGATCAAGATCTGGTTCCAGAATCGGCGGATGAAGTGGAAAAAAGAAAACAAGCTTCTCAACTCCACTCAGCTCAGTACCGAGGAGGACGAGGAAAAAGCGACGGAATGAGGAACCGGGGGAAGGGCAGAGCGCGCGCAGGGATCAAGGAGGAGGAAAGCAGAAACGCCAAGAGTTGTGGAGGCTCCGAAAAGGGCAAAAAAGGCACAGCCGAGACATACATTTTTGTAAAATACCCGAGACTGTATGGAGGTGTTGGTCCACCTTCATTTGGCACCCTCACTCGCATCCAGTAATCTGTCGTGTCATAATCAAGCTTCTAGTCCAGTTTATTTTCCCATCCTTTCTATTGCCCCTGTCCCCTCACCACAATTGGATTTGTTGTTGTTGTTTAAAGAAAAAAAACTTTGGGTGTCCTTCTTAGGATTCTTGCTAACCCTTGTATTTAAGTGGAGGTGCTGCAATATATGTGTCAGATTTGGGGGGTGTTGATTGTCTTGATTTTGTAAAACAAGTCTCATGCACGGTTTTACTTCTATGTTGCTGTTTTAAGAAAAATGGTTAAGTTAATCAAACCCTAGGTTCTTTGCCATTTAAGGGTTTTATTTTTGGTTTTTTAAAGAAAAATCTATTGGAAAGAAACAACTGCTACCTTAAAAGTATGGCAAAATAAAAAACAAAATAATAAGAGGGGGTGTTTTTGTTTTATTTCATTACAATTCTGTACAGTGTTGTGTTTGTATTTTGTGTTAGCTATGGAGATAAAAGTCCTCTAATAAACAAGAAACAAATATGTTAAGAAAAAACACTTGCCACATTCGTATTTTTGGGTGTGTGTGTCCCTCCTCTCTTCTTCAGCCACACACACGCCCTTACCTCTTGGTCTACCTACACGAGTTGTGTGTTTGTGAGAGAGAGAGAGAGAGTCTCGCTGGCTGTGTAATAGCAGTTCTTTTCCTAACTCGAACAGTCAAGCAATTCTTTAAGCTTTACAGAAGTTAGAGCAGAAAGATAAATTTTCTGTGTCCTCCCCCTGCCCCCCACTTTCAACTCTTCAGCCTAATCTTAAATGAAAGACCTTTTCACCAGGAATATCTTGGAGTTGACATTTAACTTTCATGTGGACCTTTTTTTATTGTTACAGCACAAAGGAGTTATGAAGAGGGGAGGGGGAAGCTCACCTCATATATAATAAATCAAAGAAACAGACATAACTGTGCGCCCATCATACATCTGCTAAAAGATACCTAACATTTGTATAGCCTCTTTCAAACATTAGACAAACTTCCTCTTAGTTCATCCCTACCCCAAGCCAACCCCCCCCAGAACCTAAGTAGTATTTATACATAAACCAACATTAAATTAAAATGTCGAACTACAAGGTATTTAGTTTTCCCTGCGGTAAACTGAAAAGCTTTTCTAGCCAGGAAATGCACGGACAGTTTGAACACAACTGGCCTTTTCCCCCAATCCCATTTTAAAAACTAGAACTTCACAGTTCCCCCCCCCCCGCCCCATGTCTGTTTCAACATTACTTTTTACTATTTTTCTTCATGGAAATATGCTTTTCCATGCTTAGACAAAGAACATTTCCTCGAGAGACACACTGCAAATAAGACCTGGATTACTTGAGGAAGCTGAGAAATACAACTGTTTGCTTATTGTCTCTTGTTCTGTGAAAGCAAGCAGTCAGCCTGCAGCTATTTCTGACTTTGCAGCTCCTACATGTTTTTGGTTTTGCTTTTTAAGAAAGGAAGGTCGAGAAATAGCTATTTGCTCTCGCAGCTTCTGCAGCCTCAAAAGTACAGGTACTAATGCATTCTCACTACACCGCTACCCAAATCTGATGTAATGACAGGCATTTTGAAAATCAATTCATGCAGCAGCCTTGCAGCTGCAGGACACTTATCCTTATTGCTACTCTTTTCATTGGCCATAATTATTGTAATTATATGTCACGTTCAATATGGCCCATAATTTCCAATGAGTTGCAGGCTGGCTTTCGGAAATTCCTAAACGGTCTTGGAAGAAGGATACAGAAAATATTCTACCAGTGCTGGACAAAGCAAATATTTGTGTTACTCTGGCCGATTTTTACAGGATTTATTACTACCAACCATTTCTTTGCTGTTTTAATGAAGGGTGGGGACACCTCTCCTCTGCAATAGTTCCTTCAACAGATTTCCAGCTTGCCCATTTACGATATCAATTATATGAACAAACACAGAAAAAATCCCATTTGAAAGGGGACATTCTTCCTCTGCTGGTATCTATACAATAAAAGTACTGAGATTTAATAGTAATAGTAATAATGGTTATGATGCCGTGATAATAAATAATCGTGTGCAGTGCGAAAGTGTGCAAGCAAGAGTACTAACATAGTTTGATGCTGATTTTAAGAATCCTTTGCAGGGAGACTGTGCAATCCTAGCCGTGTCTACTCAGAAGTAAGTTCCATTGAGCTCAATGGACCTCACTTCCAGGTAAGTGAGAAGAGGTTTGCAGCCTAAATGGGAGAAGGAAAGGAAAGGAATTCTAGTTTTCTTCAGGATAAATTCTTTCTTGCGGCACCTTTTCTAGTATCAAAACCATAACGGTATCAGAATTGTGACTTATCACTGCAACAACAATTATTACTACTACTGTTACTACTAGTAGTAATAGTAATAATACAACATAATACTGCAAAAAGGCAAGAATATGAAGAACAAAGCGGGTTTGTATGAGAGACAGGTGCTTTCCCCAGAAGGAAGAGAGGAACAAAGAATCCGAATCGAGACTTTCAGGTGGGGAAGAATTTTATTCAGTAAAAGGTGGACAGAGAAACAGAGCGCTTTACTGTTAAAAAAAAAAGGAGGGAGCACTAACCTCCATGCCCGCTAACCCTTCCTTTGCCCAGTAGGTGGCGCGCTCCGCCAACAAGGAGCAGTCGCTGCTCGCAGATGCTTCCCCCCTGCTTTCCTCCCCCTTTTGGAAGCCGCGCATTGACATGGGCCTAACGATTCTCGGATCGTCATTATTTGTAACCATAGAGCATGAATTGCCTCTTGAGGTCATCAGTGAGAATTTACGACTGGTCAACAAAAGCACGTGATTCCCAAACGCACCCCCCACCCCACCCCCATATTTGGCCGCATACATAGCAAAAACGAAGTACAGTGCATCGCTATAATTCATTAATACATCATAAATCCTCAAGCACAGGGGTTATAACGACCACGAGCCCCACAAATCAAGCCCTCCAAAATACAACCCAAATGAGTTCTTACTTTGTAAACTCGTTCTCAGGACGCTATCCTAATGCCCCAGACTATCAGCTGTTAAATTATGGGACCGGCAGTTCCATGAACGGATCTTATAGAGATCCAGGCAACATGCACGCCGGCGCTTACGCTGGGTACAACTACAATGGGATGGATCTGAGCATCAGCCGGTCGACCTCCTCCGCCACTCACTTTGGAACGGTCGGGGAGAGCTCCCGCGCCTTCCCTGCCCAGGCAGCGCCAGAAAGCAGGTTCAGGCAGGCGTCTAGCTGCTCCTTGTCCTCTCCCGAGTCCCTCCCTTGCAGCAGCAGCACCAGCACCGGCACCGGCGGCAGCGGCGGCGGCGGCGGCGGCAGTGGCGGCGGCGGCGGCGGCGGCGAGAACCATGGAGGCAAAGCCGCCTCGACTTCCCCCGCCGACCAGGCAGCCTCGGTCGGCGCGGGCAGCGCCGCCAATTTTACAGAGATAGACGAAACCAGCGCGTCCTCGGGAACCGAAGAGAGCAGCTCCCAAGTCAACAGCAACGGCGCCAGAGCGCAGGCAGAGCCCATCGCCACGTCCACGCCGGCCACGGAGGGACAGAGCCCGCAGATTTTCCCGTGGATGCGGAAACTTCACATTAGCCATGGTACATGCTCCTTTTTCATTCAGCGCTTGCCGCTAGCCAGGGAGAGAGCTGGAGAGAGAGCAGAGAGATTTTGGCCGGGAAGGGGGAGGTGGGAATGGCACCAGTCGCCCCGATGAGACCTTTTCCCTGGGTCTTGCATGTCTCCCCTTTCTGTTTCCTTTCAGAAAGTGCATATATATATATGTATATGCATATATAAATATGTATATGTATGTGCTTTATTTTGGTGGTTTGTGTATCTGCTCCCTCGCCCCCACCTCTCTTTCAAAATAAAGAAGCAGCGTGTTATTCAGCTAACAGAGGTCGTGTTAGAAATTATAATAATAGTAACAGGAATAATGGGGGTGGGGGTAATGGACTGGGGAAAGCTTTTGAAATAGGACTCTGAAGGATAAGGAGGAAAAATGGGTGAACTGGCTGTGCGAAGAAGGAAAGAGGGAAGGACAGAGGGAGAGAGAAAGACAGAGAGAGAAAAAGCTGTTTGGGGCACAGATGGGTCTCCCAACGACCCCTTCTCCCCCTCCCCACATTTTAGTGGCTGTTGTGACAATACGGGATAATGGCAAACTATTTCGCTGTCCCCTCCCCCCACTGCAAAACCCAAAGGCGTTCAGAGGAGGATTCGAGGTGCAGTTCGAAGGGCGCCTGGGGGGCACGCCGGCGCTGCACGCGTTTGGGCGGACGTGTCGGCCCCCAGGATTTCAGTGGGACTCGTTTCCAGTGAAGTGTGGCCCAAATCGGGGGAGTGAGTCAGGGACAGTTGCGTGCGACCCCTTTCAGGGTCTCGCCCGCCTCCCCGCTCCTGTCGCCCATAATGGCACTGACACACGCGCGCAGACAAAGGTACCGTTCAGGAGGAGAGGTGCAGGCTCAGGGCGCCAGCGCCGGCGCGGCCGTCCCAGGCGCCCTTCCCTGGGAGCCAGCCCGCCGAGGCCGCTGGGCTCCGCATGAGGATGCGCTAAGGACGCGCGCGATCTGGCTGCGCGTTGTCTGAACTCGCCACAGGGTCGGGCGAAAGCCCGGCGCGCAGCAGACGGACGCGAGAGGTGGGACGAGGTTCTGAGCGCGCAGAGGGGAGGTGGACAGGGGGCTGAGGCCATTTCACCGGAGCGGCTGCCACGCAGGTTCGGGGCTAGGGCGTTAAAGGAGGAATTCTGACTCGGAGGGAGTGGGGAAGCTGAACCGCGAGGGTGCGTGTCAAGGAGACGGGGCGTGATTTCGCAGGACCCTTTTCCAACGGAGTGGGGACGGGGGAGTGATCGCTCCCTGCCTCTGTGGCAGAGGGGACCGAGGCAAACCCAGCAGAACCCAAACTTTTGTGCATGTATTATTATCATCATTCAGATATGACTGGACCGGATGGTAAACGAGCCCGAACAGCGTACACGCGCTACCAGACCCTGGAACTGGAGAAGGAGTTTCACTTTAATCGCTACCTCACCCGCAGAAGGCGAATAGAAATCGCCCACGCGCTGTGTCTCTCCGAAAGACAGATAAAAATCTGGTTCCAAAACCGGCGCATGAAGTGGAAGAAAGATAACAAACTGAAAAGTATGAGTTTAGCGTCTGGTGGCAGCGCTTTCCAGCCATAAATTATATCAAGGAGGAATATTAAGAAATAGATGTGGGGCGGGGGGACAATGAGGAAAGAAGGAAAAGGAGAGAAAGTTTAAAGCAAAACAAAAAAAAGCAACAGCCGGTTTTGTCTTTTGTTTTTTTAAAAAAGTTTGGAGTACTGTAAAGTGAAGCACTTTCCATTCAGCATGCTGTTGATTTTTTTTTAATTATTATAATTATTGAACAACTTCCGTGGTACTATTATTCCAGGACTGTGTCCTTTGCTAAGACTTCCCCCCTTTAAATTAAAAGAAGAAAAAGAAAGTTATTTCCAGAGGCTTCTTTAATGCTTTAGGTGTTCTAAATGTTTGTGTCGTGCTATAATGATGCTTTCTGGAAAGAAGTTAGCATGTTTTTTGTTTTTGTTTTTAATGTGCGCTCTTTAAATGTTATAACTTATTTATAAACCACTGGGGAGAAGGAAGGATGGATTCTTTCAAAGTTCTCTTCCTTCTACTCAAGTCTGGGACATCCTGTAACTTCAGTGGCAGGGGGAAAAATTAAAAACATCAACCACAACAAATGTTTTTGGTTTGGGTTTTTTAAAAAATAAAAAATACAGTATATCTATATATAAGCTCATGTATCTTTCTGTCTTTGAGATTGTCAAGTCTGTGATTTGGTTCATAATTCCTGGCCTTGTTTTGATCCCAGGCCAGTTCTGAAACTTTTTTTTAAATAAATGTGAGTGAAGTTCACTTTAAAAGGGTATACGATTGGACCAACCATAGTATGTTTAAAATGTTTGTAAATACTAGAAATATTTCTGCAGTGACTAATAGGAAGTTTTAGTGGGCAGGGTGAATTCCGTGTTCTGTGTGTCTGAAATGGCATTGTCAAGTCTAGCTGCCTGTACCCATCTTTGCCACGAAGCTTTTTCGTATCCGTTTGTAGCCTTAACTTGAAGTCAAATAAACGTTTCTCCTGGCCAGAAAAAGGCACCCCTTTGTGTTTCTTTATACCACAAAGTTGAAAACCCCCAAGCCTAAAGTTACTCATAAACAGATTATACACTTCAAAAACACAGAAAATGTTTCCACACACCGCATGGCCCATCTGCCACATTCTCCTTGGGGTCATTCCCCCACCCTTATGAGCTAAGGAGACCAAATCATCTTGTTCAGGCAGTGTTGCTGCCAACAGGAAAACACAAGTCAGAGAAAAAGAAAACAAGCCTTTGGTTCTGGTCTCAAACTTCGCTTGCTTCCTTCCACGACCTTCACACATTTACTTGACAAGAAGTCCCCATTCATTTCAATGGCCTTTACTTACAAGTAAGCATGCTCAGGATTGCAACCTCAAAGTCCACAAACCAAACATTCTGGAGAGTAAGTGAAGTTGACACAACATTACAAAAACGCCCTCTGCATCTCCGAGCTCAGCAGAACACATACTAGCTGTGCGGAATATATTCATTCACATACAAATGCAAACCTACGTTCAACACGGAAAATCACAGTTGCCTTAACTTTAGGGTTCTTGCGAAAGAGATTCTGTAAAAAGCTATGCTTTCTTTTCCACTCATCTGGCAAGCTATCTTTCTTTTTCTCTTTTCCTAACCAAAGAACTACCATTCTAGCCTGTTCCTTGCAACCAGGAAATAAGTTGTTACTAAAATCCTTCCATTATCATTCAGAATCGCCTGGCTTGTCTTCTATGAAGTAAAATTGGTCTTATAAACTTACCCCAAACTCTTTGGTTACTTCTGACATGGTTTTGGGAGGGCTGGGGTGTGAGTTGTCATTTCCAAAACAACCCATTTTCTCGCGTTCCCTTGAACACACACACACACGCGCGCACACACACACAGATAACAGATACACACACACCCGCAGGCGCGCGCGCGCGCACACATATATTTTACCCATAGCAAAGTAAGTAAGTATACCAAAAGTAGCTGTGACATTAAGATGTCAAATGGATAGGGTTTTATCTAGAAGTTAGATCGTAAAAATCGCCTAGACCTCAGCCAGATACCCCTCACTGGCTCTCAAAAGTCACGTGAGGTCCATAAAGTTAGTTTTATGGTTTTGGGGAGTTGACAATGTACAATATATTTCACATTCTCCAGAATGTTAAGTGACATTTTAACTGCTTGCTTTGGCTTGGAAGGGGGCAGGAATGGGAGAGCAGATAAAGGCTTCTCCATAGCTGGAATAGGAAGCATTGATGGTTCAGTGTTTACTCCAAAGAGGACTTAGAAGCTGCTAACCTGAAAGTAAGTTTCTCTTGAAATACTATCTGCTTAAATGACTTTTAAAGAGGTAGAGTGCTGTAGATTGGGCTGGGGGGGGGGCAAAGAAAGGGCATTGTATTTCTGGTTGAAACTTCCTTCGGTAGACAATCTTAGTTAAGTCGAAATAGCCAAGGCCCCAGTGGTACCCTGGAGTGGCCCATGAGGATTTTTTTAAAGGTATAGGGTAGCAGAAGAAAGGAAAGGCATAAAGCATTTACCCATAAAGATAAATGGTGAGTGCACCAGTGACTTTGCTTGGGTGTGTGTGGGGGGGGGGGCGGAGTATATTAAACCAGATTTGCTTAGGTCTTTAGTGGCCTTGTAAAACACTTTGAGGGTGTATTCACTTCTTGGGAGTGTATTGATGTCAAAGGCTTAAGAACACTTACTTAGAAGTGATTCCCATCAGAATCAGCAGGATTGATTTCTCCAACCGATCTTCTGCAGGGTGGGGGAACACGCAGCCTTGTTAGTTTTCTCCACTGTTTTTGGCCTTTTAAAGCCATTTCCTGAATAAATCCAACTTACAGCCTTGATTCTTTGAATTTAATTTGTCCCCCAGTTAGTGCACATAGACACATTTTCAGAATTTTGAGGAAATTTAACATTGTAGAAATTCTCCTAGGCCTACCAGATCCCTCCCTGCCTTTAATATTTTACTGGTATCTTTGTTCCTTTATTCAGTATACTTGTAAGTTATTCACTTGTTGCTGGTTCCATGGGCACAATCCACCAGGAAATTCTCCTGTGTAAACCCAGAGGAAATGAAGAGCACAAGGCAGGACACTTTCTCAGGGGTTGTGTCTGTCTTACACGATGTTTGCGGTGCCACTGATGGCTTATGGAATCCTGTACTATTCCTGTTTTTTGGAAGTAAGTGCTCCCTGCGTTCAGTGGGGCTTACTCCTAAGCAAATGCGCTAGGTGAGTCCTGCTACAGGCCTGTGCATAACTCGAAAGGGGTTTATTTCTGCTTAGCTGTCCCTGGGATTGCAGTGACAAAGATCAAAGGGATCCGCATTTGTTCCAAGGGGCAAATTTTCATCTCCTCCACTAACTGTAAAACAAGGGGGAAGGGCGGGGAAGAGACAGTCTCACACCCTGCACATGTTTAAAAGCCTCTCATTTATTCAGCCCCAGATAGATAAGCACTCCCGATAAAGCTAACAAGCAGAGACTTTCAAGATAGGGCCTAATCCAGAGGTAGAGTAGCAAATGGCCTTTAGCATTTAAATTCTCTTGTTTTAAAGACTGGTTAAATACAAAGAATCCGCAGTGGGCCTGTATCTACCTGTCTACAGACATTAAAGATTCCACATTAGAAGCTGTAGCATGTTTGGATGTTGTTATTAGTTCTGGGTAGCCAGATCAAATATTACACACATATAAATACACACACACACACACACACACACACACACACTGGGAAGGGGGGGGGGAGAGAATGGGGTAAATCTGATAAGCCATATAAGCTTTCTCTCCCCCTCCCTCAGGACTGACTATGGTACAGATTCTCCAGTCTAGGACACAGAGACGTCAGCGCCTTGGAGCTGACTCTGATGACTATGTGCTGTAGGTGTCAATGGGATGTCCTGTATGCACGTCTTTGGACCTCAGTCCAATTGAGCTCAGTGGGTTTACTCATGAGTAACTTAGCCATAAGTCTGGGCTGTAAACCAGGTTTTTGTTGTTTTTTAAATGAAGCCCCTTCACCTGAAAGGCCTCCTTCGCTGTCACTTTCACACCCCCACCCAGCTCATTCATTTTCCTGGGTTATTATTACATATTGCAAGTAAATCAAGGACTCCAAGAGGACTGATTTTTTTTTCCATTCTGTAAACCCAGCACTTTCCCCCCAGATGTGCGATGGTTGTATTTTGCATCTTCATTTTCCCAGTTAAAAGGGGTGGATGGGTCGGATCCAGTTCTGTACTTGAACTGTGGAATTCTCTAATGAGTATGCTTACCACGTTTCATTCTGATCATGTTCAGGGGAGATGTGACACATAAATACCCACAAAATGTAGAGTAGGACCTTTAAAAGCCCCAGTGTCTTGTTTTGCTCCATCTATACAGATACATGGAGAAGAATAATCATAGGCACAATGGATGGATATATAATCCTGCAGAAGTTTCCTTAATGCTAATGGATGGGACCTGGCAAGACCACCTTGCTAGAAATATAACTTCCCCTGGGATTGGCCCTGGTGGTTTTTGGCAGGGCAGGGGGGAGCATCTTGCCTTAGCATTCTGCAATTGTTACTTTTTTCTTCCTCTTTCCTTCCTTCCCCTCCCCCCCCCCCTTCATTCTTTCAAGCTGGGATCTTAATGGCTGGGTAACATTTGGTAGACATATGTCTTTGGGTAACATAAAAGGGGCCATTTTTGCTGCTTCTTTCCTACCGCATTTAGATCATACTTGTATAATTTGTCAGGACTGTCCTCCTTATCAATCTGTGTTTCTATTTGTGAATGAAGCCCAAATAACACTGCAATACGGGCATCTGCCTGGGTGCCTTGGGTAGAGAGAGCGTATCTCCCCTAAAACTTTGCTCTAGGTGTCTTCACGTTTCTCAATGCATAATGCATCTTTGTTTTGAAAGGAGATTTTGGGTGGGGGGGGGGGGGGGTTGTTACGATCCAGCCACAGTATAGCTCTTTCCTGTTGATTTCTTCTGAAGAATTGAGCTTCTGCTTAACAGTGCAATCTTCTACATGCCCACTCAGAAATAAGCCCCAT